CCAAGGAAAATACTTTTCCAACATGGCATGTAATCACATAGCACAGAGCTGAATTCTAGAGATTTGCTGTAGTACCAAGATATGTGGGTTTGGAACTCAACTGTATATCATGGTTCAAAAGATAGTGACTTGTAGGATGACAGAGGCAGCTATAGTGAACTGAACAGTACAGTGCAATACTGTCTATAGAAAGGTTTTAATTAATAGGCTATACAAAAAGGAATCAAGAATAGTGCAACAGTGTAACATGATACAACATACTACTGTATTAAATAGCCCAGTAACAGCAAAGAGATATTCATATGCAAATATAAAAATGAATGACACTCAAATATATCAAAATATGTCACTGCAGATCTGATTCTTTGGGGGCCATGATTGTACCCTATCAAACAGAGTAGAACTTCTTATGGTACAGCCTTACATTCAGTCTCTTACAAATCATAGATGAGAAAGGGGCTCAATATCCCACAAAAGAACATTGGCAAAGAAATGATGAGCAGCTTCTTTTTCTAGTTGTTTTCTGTTTTGACCATAAGGTTGTTAACTGGCTGATGTGGGAGGAAGAACTCCCTGTGGAAATTCACTGCTTTGTTTTTAGTGACTTTCAAATCTTTCAAATGGAGACACTGCTCCTATAAGACTCAATCAGGCAATCCAGACAAAATGAAAAAGAGTTTGGATATTTTTCTCTTGCTTTTCTTCTTCCTTAGGTTGAATAAAACCTCAGATAAGATCAATAGTTTCTTTAGTTTTATGTTTCTCTTCCTTAAGGGCAGCTGGTTTATTGCATTTCCATTGATCACACAGACAGGGAGATTTGACAGAGATAAACCATCTTTTTTTTTCCCCACCCCTTCCCCTCCCCCATTTAAAAATCAAATGACTTTTAAATGAGGCTGGGGTCACTCTTGTTTCTCATTTACGTATTATTAGTAAAATGCCTGCATCATTTTTCACTCACTGAACTGTTTTAAAAATGCAACACGAGTGTCTACATTTCAATCCGAGACAGAGTACGTTCCCTGGAAGATACCTAGCAGAGTCCTTTACAGACTCACCACCAGAAACACTAGGTTCTAGTTTATCTCAGCCCTTCCCTGACATTAACTCTGTGGTGCGAGTGGGCACACCGGCCAGGCTCGTGCAATGAACAGTAACTTCATTGCAGCCTCTGCAAGGCTTTCTTGCTGCTGTTAAATTCTTCGCCAACTCCTTTGCAGATGTCTCCATGCAACTGTATGCATCATGTCAGTGCTTGCAGTCAGCAAAACAGCTACTGGAATGGATTACTTTCAACATTTATAACTAAGAAGCAAGCTAAAGACTAGGATCAGGGATTGCTGTGCTCTGTTAGAGGTTTGGCCACTGCTTTACTGAATGGTGCTGAACTTGTGAGCCTCTACTGCATAAGATTAGATGTTTTAAATCTTAACTAGTTTGTACTGTACTTCAATGAATAAAAGCATCAAAAATATATGTGTATGCTTGGAAAAGTCTAGGAAAAGTCCTAAATATACACCTACAGGGAGATCAGTTTCATCAAATTCAAAAATTGGTTTTATTCGTAGCTACACGCGAACGCAAATCTACTAACGTTAATAGAGAGCTCTAAGTCTAGGGTGTTGACATCTCCTGCCTGAACATTGCTCTGAACTCTTCCCCACCCCCCCTAAAAAACTTGTGGGTGCAAGAGTGAAGTATCTATGTTGAAGTCTCTGGAAAAATATGATCTCCTGCATGATTTATTTTCAGTTCACAATACCAAATAATTTCAGGGTTTCCGGATTACAGTGGAGTAGTTTGGGCTTGGTAGGTGGAACTTGAGTATTAAATGGAATTATGCAACCAAACCTTCAGGTCAGCCTGTCACGTCCATACCCTAAAGCATCCATCTGCAAGAACAAACAAGTCAACAAGAACCAAATCTAAAGACTGCTAAAAGAAAGAGGAAATACCCTAATAGTATCAATTACTTGAAAGAAAGCATTTGTGTGTTGTTACGCAGCTCCAACAGAAATGTCAGTGTACGAAAATATTTCATTTCAATATTAACTAATTAGATACTTAATGTACTTAGAAAAATGACTGAAAATACTTTAAAGCTGTCCGAATCAGAGAAACTGCAAAAATTGTTTACCTGCCCTACAATGGAAGAAAGAGATGACCTCTCATGAGTTTAAGTGTCTTCTATCTTTAGGATAAGTAATAATGCTAAACAAAAAATTAGAAAGATAGCCTCAGAATAACCACCTCATGATCCAAGTGGGACTCAGCTTTTCATCATACAGAAATCATTTTCAATTGAAATCTCGAAACTGCTTTAGAGCTCTCAAACTTCCTTACGGGCCACAAGAACATTGGACTCATCACTGTCACCAGTGAAAGGCCTCCCCTACATCGAGTCACTCATACCCTCAGTGGCAGGCTGTGGCCCTGATCACGTTTTTAGTGACAAAGACAACAAGAAAGAGCACAACATCTCTTAAAACACTGCAAAGATTTCTAAAATAAAACATATGCAAATATATATACCCCCCCCACACACACACATCTATCTATCTCCTGGTCCAACTGCATTAGGTCTTTCTCCTTTTTAGTGCCTCCACCATGTAATGGGGTCATGTGGATGACCCAGCGCTTAAATCCAGCATCTCAATGTGGCACTTGATTTTCCCATTTCAAGCATCTGTTACAAACGATGCTGCAAATTAAGCAAACTTGGGTTAAAGACCTCACAGATGGTAAAGAAAGAAGAAAGTAAATCATTAGGTATTGATAGTCTGATGTGTCACTGCTCTTAGGTCTTATTATGGTCATCTAGGGACTAAGTGAAAACCTTATCTTGAGGTCACTAGGAGCTTTGCCATTGACTTCAGTCAAGATAGGATTTTTCCCCCACTGTCTCCTAAAGGAGATTCAAAACCGCTGTCTTGACTTGTGGTGCTTATTATAAACCCATTAGCACATCTCAGGAGTAGCGAGTGTTAGTTGTACTGCTCTGGGCAACTATAATCTCCTCCTTTAAACGCTGTTTTTTTTTTTTTTCCTTCTCCCTTTCCCATCTTGGAATTGATGCACGTATTGCAGAGGACAGTTAAGACAGCAGCTGAGTACGTCCTGACTACACTACATAGAGGGGTAAAGGGATTAGTATAGAGCTTGCAAAGAGACTCATTTGAGTGTCTTATTAATTAATTGTTATTTATAATAAAGCCTCTTTCTTTAAGGTCTTTTAGGATCCATAGCTGCTTATTAATGCTACATAGATAAGGATTGCTCCTCAGTGGAAGAAAGGAAGTGAAATATTGGAAGCCATTCAACAAAAGCAACAGGCTGGGGAAAGGAACAGAGAAAGAATTCATCATTTGATAGCAAATGGAAAACTATGATCAGCTAAATGCAGTTACTAGAGTTCATCCTGTGTACTTAAAAGTGCTAGGAGATCTCAGACTGATGTCTCTGAAGCATCCACCCAGAGCACAGTCCTTTCCACAGTCTGGAAGCTGATTCAGTGTTACATTAGTGTCTGTCTAGATCACAAAGGCATACCTTGAGGCCATGGAGAGCTACCAAAACTAGTCCTAGATTAGCTACCTTTGACTGTCAGTAAGAGAGAATTCCAAGAGAAAGATTCTCAATGTAGGCTCTTAAATTTAGCCCGGTGAATGCTCAGGTAGCTAGCCTGTACCAAAGAGCATGCTGCTACTAGTACTCATGTTGATTACCTTAAAACTAGCTCAAAGATGTCTGTATGCAACAGCAATTCTTCTCCTGCAGGACAATGAGGCATTGCCAGGGCAGCTGACTTTAAGCAGCAGCTTTGGGTATTTATAGCAGCCCTATGCGATGAGGACAGGTTTGGGCCTACTCCTAAAAAACATGACACTGTGGAGGACAAAATTCTCATCTTCATAACTTTACCCAGAATGCTCTTTCATCTTAAAGCTATTTGATAGTTGATGCTGTTGTTTGAAGTCTGTGAACAAACTGAAAGATCTGACGCATTCTTTTGAACACAGAGTTATTTCAGTGAGTTTAACAGGAGCATATACAGAACACGGTGGGAGAAAGAGCAGCATCAGTGTTTCAAGGGTCAGGGAGTTTCAGAGTTCACTGAAACAACAATGCTATCGTCATCTCTTAATAGACTTTTACATAGCCCAGTGTCACAGAGCCTCTTATTTTCACTACCTTTGTGGGGTAAGCACTAAGCAAGCAGAGGAATACACTTGCTGCTGTACTCCTCTGTAGCTGTTACTGCTGTTAGTAACATAGTTGAGAAAGTCCTATGATTTATAGGATGGCTTTATTTCCCATGGGTTTGATGCAAATCCCTTGTCAGCAGAAAGATTACAATATGTAATATACAAATGTCGAGTGAAGCTACATCATGGTAATCACAGGAGCTATGGCTCTGCTACAGCAGTGCTGGGATAGTCTGTAGAGATATGTGAGAATGCAGCTCATATATACAGAGTTCTAGGTTAGCTCCTGAAGTTTTAAGTAGAACAAATGATATGAGCCTACCTGGAATATTTTCTTAGCTTAACATGGTACAAAGGAGCAAATTTGACTCAGGTGAATTTCAAGAGAACTCTTCCTTATGCAAAAAAAACCACCAAAAAACAAACAAACAAAAAAATCAAAGTGATACTTATGAATTTTATCTGCTTTATGTAATGTTACAGCCCAGTCACTCCACTATCTTTACAACATCCCCTTATACCATGCTGTCTGAGAAGAGAGTTTCTTTCACTATTGAATGAGACCTCAGAGAAAGGACTCTACTGTCCTGGCACTGAAGGCCAAAGAGCAGGGGTCATGTGAAGACTTCCCTGAGGAAGAAACTAAGCAGTAATGTTACACACATGCTGTAGAGGATCTAGAAAAAGCAGACAAAGTTAAGTAGTGAGACAACAGCCATCTTCTCTTCACACTTCTAAACTCATGAGACCTATATTAGAATGAGGCTGGCACAGGGTAAGAGATTTACTCACTTTGTAGAGACCATGGCTGCAGCCACAGTACGTGCTCTCCATGGTGTAGCTCCTCAATATACCCATTTCCTGCCATGCCACCACCCTGGCCGTTGACTCCCGGGACTTCTCTACCAGGAAGCTGCAGCTGTTCATGACAAATGCAGGGGCCACTTTATCCAGGATTTTAGGAAGAGTCTATGAGAAAATATCAGCAATGAATGAGAAAATAAACTGAACAAATGTGCACGTATTTAAGTCATACACGCATCTAACAGAGAGACCTGGATTTTTTAATGTGCATGTCAAATCTATCTATTGTCACTGTTACTGAAAGAGCTCCAACCAGTGCCAAACGGAATTCATTACGTCCCTCCCATGCAAAATCCTCATGTTTAATATTCGTTTCATCCTCGGAGACTAAAATGCAAAACGTCCATTGCACTTGCTGCATCTCTTTCAAAAGGATTCATTTTCACATCCAACAGTCTTGGTTTGCTAAGTCATTTACAAGTTTTGTTTTCAAGCTGCTTCAACATTAACCTAAGCTTTTTGATTGTGCCGCCCAGAGGGGTGGGGTCATAGTTCAGTACCTGATGCTCTCATTCTCCCCTCTCCAGCTATGCTGTATCTCTCATCAAGCATCAGCAATTTAACATAGGATTCAGCTATAGGAGATGTTTTCCCTAATTGAGCCTAGTACACAGGGGAGAAAGGGGATGTGTAATCTCATAAGAGGTCACACACAGTTATATGGAAATGAAGCTTAACATTTAACTAACTTGCATTGAGAAACACAAAATATTCTCATACGGGTCCCAATAATAAATATTATAAAGTTTATTTTTGATTGTGAATCTCTAAATGAAGATCCAGGAAAAATTATGTTTTAACCTTGACTGATTTTGTTATTCAAGAAACCTTTCCAACAACAATCTATACATACACCTAGTACGATGCAGTATCAAATATTTTTGTAAATGCACAGTTAGTATTTATTCATTACAGAGCTAAATGTGTTACTTTACATTCTGAAAAAACATGTATTAGAAATATTAACATTAGGTATACACTATGTAGTAACTGAACCTTCATGCACACGTCTGCACATGTGCATGCATTTCAGTGCTGATATAACCAACCACAACATATGACAAAAGACCATCTGGTCCATCTAGAGAAGAGCAAGCAAAATGAAGACATTTATTATTTCTTTGATGACAGCTTCCTTTTTTTTTTATTCCTGCTCAATGCTAATGACATTTACCCTTGAATTTCATTCAGTTTGGGCAGTGAAATCCAACCAGCTAATTTCACTTTCCAATACCAATCAGTTTCATTGACTGATTCTGAGCAATTGCAGTTCTGTTCTGTTGAGCTTTACTTCATAACGCTGTACAGGAATAGTTGGTTTCATCGAAATTGAAAGAAAAAAAATGTATAATAGCAGCTTTTTCCTAAAACATGTTTGGCATGAATGATAAATCTATGGCCTAAATTATTTTGCAATATCCACTGCAATCAACTTAACCATACATACATTTGTAACAAAGCATAAATGACATTTCTCAGGATATCCTAGTTGAAGCAGTCAATGGACTCAACCAGCAAATATCTATTAGACGCATTTTTAGATGAAGAAACCAAGGCAGAGAAAACTACAGCAAAGTAAGAGATCCCATTTAAAATCTGAGACCAGCAAGAACCTAACTTGTAAGTCTAGATCCCCAATACGCTACTAAGAGTTACAGCAGTGCCTTTCCTGCAGACATACTGAAGAAGAGATCCTCCAGGGTTGACTGCTTCCTCTAAACTAAGCAGCCAGTCTTTCAGAATTGCCTTCAGAGTGCTATTTGCTACATGGGAATCAAAAAATACTATGCTTTCATGCAGCACTTCCAGGGTTTTCTGTATTTGGGTTGAACAGGAATTAACAAAAACCACAATAGAGCTGTATCACCCATTTATAATCCTCAGCACAACTATGAGATCCCAGTTAAAACTGGGTGAAGGTTCAGATAGTTTTAATTCTACCCTTATCTGAACCAACACACAGATTTTTGTAAATATGTATTATAAAGCACGATAATCAGATCCCTAATCCAATTTAGCTTTTTAAAACAATTGAAATCATATGCATAATCAATCTTTTACATTTAATTAAATAAAAATGCTGGCAGGTAACAGTAATGTCTCTGTATGCAAGACTCATTTGGGAGCATTAGCAAATCTGAATTTAATATTCTTTTCATTTTACCAGCATTCACTGGATTTCACACTAATGGTTCTTTCTTCTTTACTTATTTTTCTCATTAATTATCTTTCAATTGTATATTTTGAAAGGGAAAATACCACCCATTTAAAAAGATTCCTTTATGATAATGCAGCAATATAACTGTGTTGTTCTTCTTATCCACAGCCAGACTTAGCATGTAAAACAGCCAGAGAAGCTGCTTCCCTCAAACAGGACTCTGTCCATAAGCCTCCATTCGCATTAGGAGAAAGTGGAATTAGGTTTCTTTACTAATGTCCCTGCAGAGATTGCTGCCCAAGAGGCCTGGAACGGCTAGCAAGAGGACAAACCTTGAAAAGCTAGATTTGTCACCAGAGGCCACCAAATATCAGATGGTAATAAAAGACTCTCACTACTGTGTACTGCCAAGGGCCAAAGTTGAGTCTATGGTCTAGGTGGCAAAGTCTGTGCGCCTAGCACCTAAATCATTGTGGGGTGGAGCAACAAATCATTCATGGAGGATAGATTAATCCCAGCTTACATAGAAGAGACGTTACAAGACAGGAGAGAAACCTGGGCAAATGATGCAGGGAAACAGGTCTGAGATGGGGTGGTTATTACTACTCCAGTTGCACAGATCTGTTCAACTGTGCATCCGTTTTCACCAGCCTAACAACCTGGGGAACCTAACCACTCTCCCATTTTGAGCCCAAGAGAAGTTTCTAACCACGAAGTACCTATTACAGCCCACTGCAGGGTATGCTCAGCCAGCCTTGGAGGCTTGCTCCTGGCTTCTTCATTGCAGATTCAAGATAGGCTCCAGATGCTGAAAGCAGCATTTCAATTCTGTTTGTGTACCAGCAGATCATCCTCAGCCTTTTCAAGCTCTCTGAATCCAAACACAGCAAAAGATGTCCGGACTATAAGCACTCTCCCCCCTGCTTTCTTTGCGAGACAGAGGGTTTGCCAGAGGGAGCCCTTGCGATGAACGCTGGAGCACTTTCCACTGGGAAAGTTTCAGTAGCTTATGGACAATGCCACAAGATGAACAAGGAAGACACGGTACCCTTACAGGAGAATAATTAGTATTTATTCTGAAGTGAACAATTACATAGAGGTATAAAGTGAAAAGACTTCTCAGCTTCTTTCAGGTTGGAAAGAAATTTAATGCCACACTTACAGTTCTACATGCTACTAAGTTTAAGGCCATAATTACAGTTCTGCAAAATTAACCTTTAAGACTGTAATTAGAGCTCACTGGATTTTTTTTTTTAAACTCATATTCTTCAGAAAATGCTCTTTTGTCAGAACTCAAGTTTTTTCATGGAAGTTTGTCATTTTAGACGAAAATATCTTCCAAAAAAATATGCAAAAAAAGAGAGTGGTAGAAATTCCAAAGAAAAAACCCTGAGACAAGTAGAAGCAAACAGATTTTAATATCTGCTCTTTCTAATCTCCCCAAAATTTCTTCAGCTACCACACCACGCATGTACCGTGCAGCCAGCTTCGCTACATTAGATCTGTTTCACACCACTTGAATTTTTTTGTTATCAGTGGGGCCAGTAACTTTTTGTGATGAAGCAATTCAGCTGAGTAGGACAATGGCACATTAGCATTTTCTCCATCACTACTCACTTCATAGGGTGTAATAAGTGTGTAATTCTTATTTATTGTCCTATGGGGGAAGGATAAACGTATGCATATCTGAAGCTTACAAAACTCAAAAATATGGCTGTCCTATCAGCCAAACGATTAGGACACACAACTATGAGATAAACAGGGACTCATCTATTAGTCATATTCTTACTAATATCTGTTACATCAAGATATGAAACATGATTCAAAGCCCTCTGGAACTTTACTCCTTTGGACTGAGGCAAGCTTGCACCTATCTCCAGACTAAAACTGGCACGCATATGTATCTACCTAGCAATTGCAGAGATGAACAAAGCAGACCTACCCTGTAGCCAACATCTTCTGTGATAACTGCTGTGTCAACCATGCAGTCTGCCTGCCACAAGGTCTCCTTGATGCTGCAGCCATACAGAAACACGTTCTTTTTCTGGGAGTGGCCATGGTAGTCACAGAATACCTAGGGAGGAAAAGAGTCAAAATTTTCTTAGGAGGGGGGAAAAAAACCTCATTCTTTAAAATAGGCACTATTAAATTATAGTGGGTGTTACTCTTTTTCAGATCTCCTCAGAGGAGCTCAGACACTGGGCCACGTCTATAGTTAGTGTCAAACTTTGTTAGCCAACTCTGTCTTGCTTTATCTATTCCATCTGACACAGGCTCAGGTGATCCAGAGCCAAGATTCATGCAGTTCTGTCTGCAGTAGAAATAAATGTCACCTGTGCAAGAACCCATGGTAACTCAGGAACCTAAGAGTTCACAGTAACTTATGATACAACAGAACAACTTGCCAGGCTCATTTTACTTCTAAACTTCAGCATCACCCTTATGAAATTTAGGGAGGGTACCTTCCCAAGCGATTAATCACCACTTGGGCTTCCTTAAATTCAAAATCTGTGCTATATAATTTACAAGAAAAATATAATCGCACAATTGTGTAAAAATTTATTATATGCTGTCACATCTTTGTATGAACCCCTTGAAAGCCAAGCATAGAACATAACTTTATCTGCACGACAAATAATTTCATTCCATACGGCCTAATCTATTTGTCTGTCTAATCCATCCCTCTTGTGTGAGCTGTCATATAAGCTAGGCACAAGTCACATTCCCAGTTTTAGTGGAAGTTTTGATCATCTTTGTAGGCAGATATCAACTCTTATAAAAATGAAAGTTATGATTTAATGACCCAAGAGGTAAATATTGACCCAAGTCTTAAGGAATAATCAATCTCAGTGCCCTCCAAGATATAAAGTCAATATATACATTGCTGTAACATATATTCTCCATGTCTTTATCAGGAATATTCCAAAACCTGCCAATGAAAAGACAAGAATTACTGAGGAGAAGGAATTGGTTCATAAATCCAATATTCACCACTGATCAGAAAAGGAGCTTCAAGATCTCATTGACACAGTTTTCTGGGGAATATGTCAGAGACAAATAAAAGGACAGGTATAGAAAGGTAAGGAAGAATTTTGGATCGCTACGTAGAGACATGTACGTAGGAGAACAATATGCAGTCTTACATAAATACAGATACAGGAGGGGAAAGAGAGTAGATGAATACTTCCATCAACTAATGGGGCAAGATTTACCTCAGTATATTTACTGATTATATAGTAACTAGGTCTAGCTGTGGACAGTCAGGGAGTTATTTGGGAACTGAGCATTTAACCTCTTTCAACAACTTTGACAAGCTCCAGCTTGACATACAGGAGAAGCTAAGACAAACATGCATGAGGAACCATCTTACTGTTCCTAATTAGCTGATATTTACACGTCTCAAAGACGGACCTCACATTGGTTATCCGTAAGCTTGTATTCTGCTCATTCTTTTGGTTTCTGACTCTTATCCTTCCTTCCTGCACCACCACTCAATTTTAGCTCTTTGCAGGGCTCTGGGGCCGTACAGTCCTGCCCCTGTAGCAGTGCATGTTCCCCACCTGGAGCAGGGGAACAGCAACCTACCCAGCAACAAGCATTCCTGTATTACTTATACCCTTGCAATCTGATAAAGGGGGCAAGGAGCAGACAAATAGGATAGTTTGAGAGCTGCTAATCACTGCAAACCCACAATCAGCCTCATTTTCAGCATTTCAAGTCAGCTTTGCACAAACCCCAAAGACTCAGTCTCCTCAGGTTGTGTGCATATTTTAGAGAGCTTATGTAGGCCCTGCATTGTGAAGTAACTCCATCTGAAGCATGTGCAATTACTCTGTAATGGCCCCTTCCAAACAGCTGCATTTAATGGTTCTTCTAATGACACAGGCATTTCTCTCCAGCTAGTGTTTCATTTAAGCTATCAGTGATACATAGCCATAGTTTAGGTTAAGCACAGGAACCACGTGGAATTTATTCCTATGAATATCAAAAAGGATTTTATAGTTTCAGTCTTATTTCAAGGAAGAGCTCACAGCTCAATTAGGTATCAATTCCTTGCCAATTTACAATATTATCAACATGCAAAAGGCACATTATCTAAAACATTACTTCATGTATTAGAAGCCACACAGGGATGATCAGCTAGTCAGGTAACGGGGATGCCTGATCAGTAGTAGGTCTGCAATTCTGCATCTCAAGAAGCCTGCAGACGAGTCCTGAATAACAGGCCTGGAAGGAGCATTGCTGGATGACACAGTCACAGCCTTTTGCCTTGGCAAAGGTTTATCATCAAATCTGGGTTCTGTAATACTGCTGCTGTTTCACACTAAAGGATCCTTCCCTGTCTGGTAGTTGCTAACTTCTACAGCAGAAGAATTACTGCTACTGGAAATATCGCCGTTTCATTTGCAAGTTGCATAGAGCAACATTTTGATCACATTTGCTGGATGCTGCAGTCACTCCCAATGTTTATGACCAGCTGTTCTTTATAACACGCTCTTCTGCTTTATTTTTACATTACAGAGTAGCTTATGCTTCACCAAACAAGACTAAGCAATACTTTGTAGCCTGAGAGCCCAGTAAGTAAGTCTTCCTGGGACACCTCCAGGCAAACATTAAGCAAACTTAGGACTTACCAGTCCTTTTTCTCCAGCCTGTCCCCTCTGTGTAGCTGCTACACTAATATATACAAAACAGCCAGACTCTTAGCTTTGCACCCACCAGGATATGACTCAAGGCATACATGCAAATTTTTATCTATTTTAAATTATTTGCCAGAACAGATTACTGTAAAGGTAAGGGCTGTTTTCTAACTCAAAAACAATCTTCCTCCTGACTCACAGAACCAGCCACCTTTCAAAGTAACGAAAAAGGAAAATACAAGACGGTAAGCAAGTAATTCTGTTGGAAAACAGATCACTTTGAATTTTTTTTTTTTTCATAAAATCTCCATTTTTCCTTAGCATTGCTGTGAGAGGAATCTGAATCACTTAGAGTTTTAAGGTAGACATATTTAGATTTTTCTATTCACAATGAGCTTTCCAAATATGACTGAAGGCTTTCAGACATTTAAAAATAAATAAATCACTATGCCTTGCAGACAGACCTGCTGGAAGACACGTATCGTTGCTCCTTGCAGTCAAAAGGAGATGCCATAGAGGGCCACAATGCCACCAGCCCCTTGTTTTACTAGGGTTTATAAAAGTTGATGACAGAACTGGAAACAAACATTTAGCAGGCTATTTTCAATGGGAGTAGTTACCAATTAAAATGGCTTTGGTTTAAAAGGCTGTTAATTTTTAAAAGTACTTTCCTTTTCTCCTTCAAGCAGTCTTCTTTGCTTTGAAGAAATTGGTTGTTCATCCCTAGGATAAATGAAACTAGCCAAATGATTTCTATGAAATGAGTTATCAGTGAACCTGGTTCCATGGGATCTTGAGAAAAGAAAAAGAAAAAAGAAAAAAAAGAAACCCATCTTACTTTTGGAGTAGGGAAAAGACATTTTTGAGTGTGCGTAAACTAAAATCAATGTACTCTTTAAAGGCAAAGAAAAATTAGTTTATCAGCAGTCTGTCATATAGCCTGCAAGCAAGAGAAAAGATAGGATCAATAATCTCCCTTCACTCAGCAATGATGAAAACTTGCACTGGATGGGTATATTTTCAAATTTAGGCACCTGGATATGACAGGGATGACCGTGAATTAGGAAAGGACAGATAATAATAGAGTAAGAAAAGAGTGATCCCACATGGCTCCAAACCATAGGAAAAGGTTGGTGAGTAAACTCATAACTGCATGTCCACCTAGGACCAGACTTCCTTGAGATCTCCATGCTGCAGAGTTGAACTTCAGGGCTCTTGTCTTGACCAAAAACCACATTTCCACAAAAATTCACTTATAGAAGCTCACAGATCTTTTCACCTTGACTGGAGTTTTTCTTATCAAGATCAGAGGGAACTGCAAATCTTTACAAAGTTCCTGCTGTGTAGCTATCGGCACCCAGTCTGCCAATTGTTGCATCTACATCTTTAGTCACATTTGAACCTACCTGTGCTATTCCTGTCAAGGTCTCAGACCCATCTTTCCTTTCTGCTAGGCAACACTGTGCAGATGGCAATAGTCCCAGCCCTACCCGAGCTGCCACTTTGAGATGAGAAACATCTCCTGAAATTTGTGGTACCCACAGAAACGGGCATTTTCACTCCCTCACCAGAGGAGCATGGAAGTTCAGCCCCTTTGAGGGCTAGCTCCAGTGTCATTGTCATTGCACAGGTTGTTCCAACATGGGCTTTTGCATAGCCCATGCAGATAAAATCTTTGTGAAATTTCTCACATCATTGCAATGAAGATAGCAATAACTTGCTCATAATATTTAGCTTAGTTGGAGTACTCTGAGGATATTAAAGAGCTTTAAAGAATACATTTTCTCATTTATATTCCAGGTGGGCAGACTCTGAAATTCATTGATGTTGGTTGGAAGATTCAGTAAGTAATAGAATATTCAAGACTTCCAAAACACTTCAGTAAAGATGAAAGCATTACCACACAGGATGCTTTCCTAATCCATTCTAGCTCGAAAACAAGGTTGTTCAGACAAGCGCAATAAGCAATCCATACACAGTTTCTTACAAAGATATTAGAAGAGACTCACCAGAGGAGCCCGGCCAATGCTGCGCAGGTAGTACAGAAGACCTTTGGTGTGGTAAATGGTTGGATGGAGCTGGGAACTAGGAGTCAACCACTGTCTATTCAGGTCGTCCCCACTCAAGGAACAACGATGGCTGAAACCACAAAGCAACGTATCACAAACTACCAAAATAGAGCTAATTTCAGAAAGTTACTGGTTCTGGCTTGTCTTGGCACTAGGACAGGGGGTGCCTTCTAGTATATAAATATTAAAGTTTTGAATTGGGCTGGAATAAACAAACAGTCCTTGGTTTGTTTTAGAGGTGCTTAGAGTATATTAATTTCATCATTTCCTTTCCCTCTGTTTCACATAGTTGCAGTCCTGAAAGAGAATGCAGTTTTCCTTTATTCAAGTACAAAAAAATAAGTAGACAACTTGCAAACAAGATGTCAAAATGTTCTGTGTGATCTATGAAATTCACCCAGATTACATAGAGCAGAGGCTTCTCAAAACCTCCACAGCAAATCTCCAATACCTACTCATTGAGATTGAAGATATGTGCTTGAATCGCTTAGACCAGTCTGAAATATGTATGTACTTAAATGAGATATCCAGCTTATCTCATTTAAGCTTCTCAGCTGCATTTCTCATGAGTGATCTAAAGCATGTGTCAAGAAAATCTTGATATATGCTACGTCATTAGGTAGAACAGTTGTCTAGCTTCACTTCAAAGGCTGAATAAAAACCTAAATGAAAAACTTTCTCAGTGCAAATCTGGGGTTCTTTCTTAATTGGCTTGAACACAACGTTTATGAATCAGTGACCAGTGGAAGATATTTGACTGCATGGACTACATCATTGTGTAACTTTGCAAAATCTGACTGATCTCCCTCATTAGCGAATTTGTGTAGTTCAGAACCTCCTCACACTCTTCAAAGGACTTGATATAATTTGATTTGGAATTTGCAAATTGCGGTACGCTAATAAGATTGAGGAATAAAACCTGTATTGTATCTGAGATTGCAATAGGTCCATCTCCATATTATCCAGTTCAACACTAGCATGCTTATGGTGGCACAAAATAAAACCTATCCTAAGCACTCAGTGAATTTCTAGCTACAGACCCAACCTTGCTGTTCTAAACCTTCTGGTAACAGAAAAATTTAAGAAATGCACATGTGCGGATGAGGTCTGGTATTGTACAGGCAGACTTGCATGGCAGCTAGGGTGTGCCACATGGATAGTCTTCTCAAAGAAAGAGGGTCCTTATGTGTGAAAGCTTTGAAAAAAAACAGAAACAATGGATATACAGGGAAGAAAAATGAGAGGAAACAAACAACAACAGTAACTAAAAATGTTTATACATTTTTTTTTAAATGTAGAAAAACAAGGCTCTGATGCCATCTTGGGGTTTCTGACAACATCACAAGATCCATTCTTGTTTTACTCTAGATTCACTATCATTGTCACCTGAATCCCCGTCTTCCTTCATAATCCACAGTTCCCACGTTACTCATTTTGCAGATTGGAAAATACTAGCAATAACTAACACATGGGAAGTCAACAAATGCTGATGCAATCCCTCTGCTGAAAAAAAATTATAGGAAAACATGGTGATTTCCATTATGTTTCTTAATGGCTTTTCAGGTAAACTTACCTGTAGGCTCACCTCTCCTGATCTTCTGGACAACAGCTGCTCACCTGAGATTAGCAGCTGTATTTCTGCCAAGTATTTATGTACATACATGGTTTCCTTTAATAGGTATAACTACATAAAGAGTCATTTGAACTGCATCTTTTCCCAATGTGATTAGTAAAAGCTAAGAACCAAACACTGACATAAGCGTGTGATGCCTTCCTGCATCACACTTATATCCAGGAGCTTAGATAACTGGAAAATAACAACAGAATTTGCATCCTACAGGAAAGGATGATAGTTGGACTTTTATTCTCATACTACAACTTAATCTCAACATAACACAATTTTTTGTGCTTTTTAAAGTTATTTCAGAACTACAGAAATATTTTCTTTCAGTATTTTCATTGTTTACAAATAAAACATTATTTTCCTTTCCAGTTTGGATTTACATTAACTTTTATCTACCCAAACCATCTGCATGTCTCCCTCTGCTAAAACGCCTTAGTACACACTGGGAGAGTCCACATACAGCCAGACATGCAGAGAAGTAGAAATGTGACACAACTGAAGTACTACTTCCAAAAAGCTTAAGTAAATATACAGAGGAATGTCAAACCACCTCCAGACTTTCTATTTCAATATTTCTTAGATCAAACTAAAAATTCCTTTGCAAGACCATATTCCTTTAGAACATCTAGTGTAAAAAAAAAAAAAAAAAAAGCTGAGAGAAAAAAAGTTTGGTTTTATCCCTTCAACAACTAACATCCCTGCTCATTTAAACCACCTTTAAGTATTAGCCCTCTGCCTGACAGCTTATATCTACAACTCTTAAGGAGATGCAGAACTTTAATTATGAGATGTTGACTCTTCCTATTGCAGTCCCCATCAAATCTTACTGTTAAAGTATGTTTACTTTTGTAGATACCAGTTCCCTGCCAGTGCTGTTCCCTGGTTCTTTCCTTCCTTCTCACCCTCTCCCTTTCCCAACAGCAATGACATCCATGGATAATTGTTTTGCCTGTTACGCTCTGCAGCCAAGGCAAAAAGTAAAATATTAAGCTGATCTCAAGTGCTGATAGCAAATAAAGGGACTGGGAAACCAAGACTGGCTTTGCACATTTCACAGGATTTAATGAAATTCACTTTTCAAATCAAAGGCATTTTTTACAATAAAGATTCAAGCTATTATATTTACTTTAAATGCTTTATGCATCTTTTCTCCTTAGCAACATCAGTGAGACTACCTGCCACTCTGGGTGGGACTAGTAGCAGCTTAAAGGACAATGACAACATTTGCCTCAAAAAATTTCAATAAGCAAAGAAAACCTTACTTCTGTGTCTCTGTATAGAATCTCTATAATTCAGCTATTTGTTACATATCTTCAACCCAGATGCATTACCCATACGCAAACCATAATTAAACTGCATTTTTCTTGTTCGCAAACCTAATATTTTGGATTAGGCTTTTGTTATAGCACTGCCTCTTCTACTTTTGAACAGCCAGGAAATTCTTTGATGGGGATCAGCCTATTGGATAGCTATTAGCTGCCCCTTGGGCAGCACATGGCTACCAAGCAGAGCTCTGGGAAAGGAGGCTCTTTCTCCCTTTGTTCTGTGTGAGAACTGAAATGGTTCCATTAAACACTCAGCCACAGGCTTTCAGTGACATGATCCATTAACACCAGTGTAGAAAGGATCACCTCTCCAGTTTAATAATAGCCTGTGCAAATATCACATGGTTTTCCTACCAGATAAAGGAAAAACAAAACAAAACAATCTGACTTTTGACCTTCTCCAGTAGACCATAAAGCTGTTCTATTTCTGGAGGTATCTCTAGAATGACTCAATAGAAGCTATGGAGCTGGTAGAAGAAAAGACCCTCTGGTCCTTACCAACTAGACTTTTCTAAAAGGACACAGGAATACTCCCACAATGATATGTGATAAGGTGTTCATCAGCCACAAATGCCCAAGAAAAGGAACGCTTGGGCTGCCTGTCCTTCAGATGCTCTGCCATAGTGCCTCATAGTCCAGTACCCTGAACAGAAACGAAGCATTCAAGCCATCCAGCCCCTAGAGAAAGGATCTTATGGAACACGTATAACTCTCAAACATTGAATGACTGGTTTTGAGCAGAGCAAACCTATCGTTACACGAATTTACTCATGACAGCTGGTGTCAGATATCACCATCATATGCCATGAAGGATGCTTCTATTTGAATACAAGCCCCAACTCCAAAGATGCATAAGTGCAGGCAGTCACCCCAAACTGCACAAAACTACTCTTTGAGAAGTAGATCACTGGCTTCTGAAGCTGATACAACCACAGAAAGAAATATTAGGTTGAGAATCCCCTTCTCAGTAGGCAGATATACCTTTAAGAGAAACATTGGACCCTTGTTCTGAAGACAAGGGCACCACATAGGGAGTTGATGGGAAAGAGCTTAAGTAGCTAAAGTAGTACTGCTTGTTCAGTTTAAGCTAGGATTAGATTTTAAATTTCTTTGAGCTTGCAATATTTTGCTTTTCGTCCTGTACCTCAAAAACTGACTTTAAGCTTTACTAAAGATGTCTTATTTATTGTTTTACTAATAAACCTGCCTGGTTTTGAGAACAAGGCAAATTTTGAGTATTACTCAAACAAAATCATGTAAGCAAACAGCAGCCTCAAGCAACATGAGAAATTAGATCCCATGACACTTCAAAAGGACATAGAAGCTGAATTTTTTGGGGAGGAAAAGTAGTATACTTAAGGGACTTAGGACTTTCTCTGAAATATATTTGGGCACCATGTCCAGTTTTCCTGTAACTGCATGCATGCTAAGTTCATGGTCCAACACAAAAACACAAATTGTTGTACACACCCTGACACAAGGTTTCTTCCACAGTGGCAAGGTTTCCTCCACAGCAGAAGAAATACTGAGCACCTCAGCTTCTAATTGCAATAAATTCTGCATGAATCACATGTATGGACAGGGAGGCACTACCTGGCCCTAACCCAAGGTTGGTCAAAGGAACCTTTTAGCTGATTGCAGTAAGCTGGATTGGGGTCATATACAGATGCAAAAGTGGGAGGGAAGAGAGATAAATATCTACATACAAAGGAAGAAACAAAACTAAACAAAAGGGGAGATGCAGAGTAAAAAGGCTACAAAACAAACACAGCATGAAGGATTAGACAAGAAAGAAAGCAAGAAATGGAGAGAGAAAGAGAAAGGAAAGTCACTTTTTAAAGAAAAGCTGTTGCTATGTTTGGAAGATAAAATGATTCAAAATCTCCTGTCCATTACAGATAAATGGAAAGACAGGGCCCATCATATCGAATGCATGATGTCAAGATTGACAATAACAGCACCTGGGGCACAGCGAACTATAAAATCTAAAGGGCTGCATTGTGTTTGATATGTAGAAAGCAGCATCACCATTCACTGTACATCTTAATAGAAGGCAGCAGTGCTACTGTAGGAGAAGAATATCTGTAAAGGGAAGTAGGTGCAAGCAAACATCAGGATGCC